AGTATCTGAATATTGGCTGAGTATCTGAACAATGGCTAAGTATCTGAACAATATAAACAATGGCTGAGTATCTAAATAATGGCTGAGTATCTAAATAATGGCTGAGTATCTAAATAATGGCTGGGTATCTGAATAATGGCTGAGTATCCGAACAATGGCCAAGTATCTAAATCAGGCTGAGGATCTAAATAATGGCTGTATCTAAATAATGACTGAGTATCTAAATAATGGCTGAGTATCTAAATAATGGCTGAGTATCTAAATAATGGCTTGCTATATAGAAGTTTGCTGTGTTTGATTTTGCAGATATCACACGTCATTTCTTATACAAGTTTTTGCCTACTAGATGAGGACAAACAACTTTGGGAACAAGGTGTGGAGCTTTATACAATTCATGTTTGAGTGGGAACAAGGTGTGGAGCTTTATACAATTCATGTTTGAGTGGGAACAAGGTGTGGAGCTTTATACAATTCATGTTTGAGTGGGAACAAGGTGTGGAGCTTTATACAATTCATGTTTGAGTGGGAACAAGGTGTGGAGCTTTATACAATTCATGTTTGAGTGGGAACAAGGTGTGGAGCTTTATACAATTCATGTTTGAGTGGGAACAAGGTGTGGAGCTTTATACAATTCATGTTTGAGTGGGAACAAGGTGTGGAGCTTTATACAATTAATGTTTGAGTGGGAACAAGGTGTGGAGCTTTATACAATTCATGTTTGAGTGGGAACAAGGTGTGGAGCTTTATACAATTATTGTTCGAGCATCAATCACCATACACACTGCATGACATATCTCAGAATCTTTCTGTAGAGGTTTTCGTAAAGACATCAATAAAACACCAATGTTGTAATACATCACAGCTTTAGTACAAAGCCTTGATCTGGCCACACCAAATGTATCTGTGTCCACAGACTGGATACCAAACAAACACCAAAAGAGCCTTGTGTCACGAAGTGATGGAGAGCGTTGGTTCAATTTGTACGATATTTCTGAAGCTTCTTCATGCGTTTCCAGTTCTAAAAGTTGAGTAGGTGGGTTCGTAAAACATTTTACTAACTATTTTCTCTATGTTACACATTTGAAAAGAAAGCTGACACAAAATCTTGTTTTATATAACATATCCTGGTATAAAGTAGTGGTCACAGCACCAATATTAGAACTGTTAATCAGTCTAGGGGTAATACGGTCAGCGCCAATATTAGAACTGTTAATCAGTCCAGGGGGGATACGGTCAGCACCAATATTATAACTGTTAATCAGTCTAGGGGTAATACGGTCAGCACCAATATTGGAACTGTTAACCAGTCTAGGGGTAATACGGTCAGCACCAATATTAGATCTGTTAATCAGTCCAGGGGTAATACGGTCAGCGCCAATCTTAGAACTGTTAATCAGTCTAGGGGTAATACGGTCAGCGCCAATATTAGAACTGTTAATCAGTCCAGGGGTGATACGGTCAGCACCAATATTAGAACTGTTAATAAGTCTAGGGGTAATACGGTCAGCACCAATATTAGAACTGTTAGTCAGTCTAGGGGGAATACGGTCAGCACCAATATTAGAACTGTTAGTCAGTCTAGGGGGAATACGGTCAGCACCAATATTAGAACTGTTAGTCAGTCTAGGGGTAATACGGTCAGCACCAATTTTAGAACTGTTAATCAGTCTAGGGGTAATACGGTCAGCGCCAATATTAGAACTGTTAATCAGTCCAGGGGGGATACGGTCAGCACCAATATTATAACTGTTAATCAGTCCAGGGGGGATACGGTCAGCACCAATATTATAACTGTTAATCAGTCTAGGGGTAATACGGTCAGCACCAATATTATAACTGCTAATCAGTCCAGGGGTAATACGGTCAGCACCAATATTAGACCTGTTAACCAGTCTAGGGGTAATACGGTCAGCACCAATATTAGATCTGTTAATCAGTCCAGGGGTAATACGGTCAGCACCAATATTAGAACTGTTAGTCAGTCTAGGGGTAATACGGTCAGCACCAATATTGGAACTGTTAACCAGTCTAGGGGTAATACGGTCAGCACCAATATTGGAACTGTTAACCAGTCTAGGGGTAATACGGTCAGCACCAATATTGGAACTGTTAACCAGTCTAGGGGTAATACGGTCAGCACCAATATTGGAACTGTTAACCAGTCTAGGGGTAATACGGTCAGCACCAATATTAAAACTGTTAATCAGTCTAGGGGTAATACGGTCAGCACCAATTTTAGAACTGTTAATCAGTCTAGGGGTAATACGGTCAGCACCAATATTGGAACTGTTAACCAGTCTAGGGGTAATACGGTCAGCACCAATATTAGAACTGTTAATCAGTCCAGGGGTGATACGGTCAGCACCAATATTAGAACTGATAATCAGTGTAGGGGCAATACAGATTTCAGTAGATCTAGATCAGATTCATGCTACATGAAGAAATTCTTTAAAACTTCAGTAATGTTATATTTACAGTAGAATAATAAGTGTATGACAACTAAACAGCTTCGTTACCTGTGATAGTAGGATTGGGTAGTGTTCCCAGCAACCTCAGGCTGCAGGAAATTTGTAAGCATTGATGTTCCAAGTTGTAAGCTAGGTACTGTTCCAGGTTAAATACTGATCAAACATACTGTACTGGGTGACGTCAGATCAGACATACTGTACTGGGTGTTGTCAGATCAGACATACTGTACTGTACTGGGTGATGTCAGATCAGACATATTGTACTGGGTGTTGTCAGATCAGACATACTGTACTGTACTAGGTGACGTCAGATCAGACATACTGTACTGGGTGTTGTCAGATCAGACATACTGTACTGTATTGGGTGATGTCAGATCAGACATATTGTACTGGGTGACGTCAGATCAGACATATTGTACTGGGTGACGTCAGATCAGACATACTGTACTGGGTGATGTCAGATTAGACATACTGTACTGGGTGATGTCAGATCAGACATACTGTTCTGTACTGGGTGATGTCAGATCAGACATATTGTACTGGGTGATGTCAGATATCACATACTGTACTGTACTGGGTGATGTCAGATCAGACATACTGTTCTGTACTGGGTGATGTCAGATCAGACATACTATACTGGGTGACGTCAGATCAGACATACTGTACTGGGTGTTGTCAGATCAGACATGCTGTACCGTGTGTTGTCAGATCAGGCATACTGTACTGTGTGATGTCAGATCAGAAATACTGTTCTGTACTGGGTGATTTCAGATCAGACATATTGTACTGGGTGTTGTCAGATCAGCCATACTGTACTGGGTGATGTTAGATCATACATATTGTACTGGGCGATGTCAGATCAGACATATTGTACTGGGCGATGTCAGATCAGACGTATTGGACTGGGTGATGTCAGGTCAGACATACTGTACTGGTTGATGTTGGATCAGAGATACTGTACTGGGTGAGGTTGGATCAGACATACTGTTCTGTACTGGGTGATGTCAGATCAGACATACTGTACTGGGTGATGTTGGATCAGACATACTGTACTGGGTGACGTCAGATCAGATATACTGTACTGTACTGGGTGACGTCAAATCAGATATACTGTACTGGGTGATGTCAGATCAGACATATTGTACTGGGTGATGTCAGATCAGACATACTGTACTGGGTGATGTCAGATCAGACATACTGTACTGGGTGACCTCAGATCAGACATTCTGTACTACATCAATATATAAAATTCTTACCAACTTGACATGGTGTTAAAACAACCCACATTGGTTACTTCAGTGTAATGATGAAAAGATCTTCTTACTTTTAAAATTGTGAAGGATTGTGTCTGAGATAAGAACAAAGTAAATATCAAATACATTATACATTGATGGTTTATGGGTATTAGTAAGATACAGACAAAGAACACCACTAACATACAACACACACACAACAGTGCACTTTTGGATCACATGGTCAATAGTGTGCTATTATGAATTACAATTCTCATCTGTATTTTGTCAGAGGTGTGCTGAATAAAAATTCTCACCTGTAATATGGCAGGTGTGCTGTAAACAATTCACACCTGTATAATGTCAGATGTCTTCTATACAATTCTCAGCTGTAAACTGTGAATTATCACCTGTAATATGTCAGATATGCTGTGTAATTCTCATCTGTAATATGTCAGATATGCTGTATAATTCTCACCTGTAATATGTCAGATATGCTGTATAATTCTCATCTGTAATATGTCAGATATGCTGTATTATTCTCACCTGTAATATGTCAGATATACTGTATAATTCTCATCTGTAATATGTCAGATATGCTGTATAATTCTCACCTGTAATATGTCAGGTGCGCTGTATAGTTTTCACCTGTATAATGTCAGGTGTGCTGTATAGTTTTCACCTGTAATATGTCAGGGGTGCTGTATACAATTCTCACCTGTAATATGTTGATGTTCTGTATAGTTTTCACCTGTAATATGTCAGGTGTCCTGTATACAATTCTCACCTGTCATATGTTAATGTTCTGTATAGTTTTCACCTGTGATATGTCAGGTGCCCTGTATACAATTCTCACCTGTAATATGTTGATGTTCTGTATAGTTTCCACCTGTAATATGTCAGGTGTCCTGAATAATTTTTACCTATAATATGTCAAAAGTGTTATATACAACTCTGAAAAATGGGGAAAAATTCTGCTGTGTACACAGTAGCCGTTATAAAAGGTTCTATAGAGAAAGCTGGGACACGGCGGAGCTCTCTGTAGAGAAGGTCAGCGAATTAAGCCCTGGATTATAAACCCATTTTGTGACATGGAAAGTTGTGCCATCCCCTCTTTTCTATGTGTGTGAATTAAATCACATGAGGTAATTAACAAGTTTAGAGCAAAAGTTACCTCATCAAAATTAATATGTTGATGCTTATTATTACATACTGCTATCACATCGAGGAGAATCGTGAGCATGTTATTCATTAGCTGCATAATAAATTAATCAACGTTTTTTTATTTTTGTTCATGTAGCACATCGGCGTAAGAGTGCAGTAGAGCTGTTGGAAGCCTCCAAGAGTGAGTACGTCAAAAGTCAGAGTGTTCTCAAGTCGAGGCAGGAGCTGAAACATCCGGAGAACCTCCACATAGGAAAGTAAGTAAGAGACAGACCAACCTCCACATAGGAAAGTAAGTAAGAGACAGACCAACCTACACATAGGAAAGTAAGTAAGAGACAGACCAACCTACACATAGGAAAGTAAGTAAGAGACAGACCAACCTCCACATAGGAAAGTAAGTAAGAGACAGACCAACCTCCACATAGGAAAGTAAGTAAGAGACAGACCAACCTACACATAGGAAAGTAAGTAAGAGACAGACCAACCT